GTACCTAGGCATTTTTTTAATTTAAGCGCAGTACTAGACTGGCATCGAGATTTATAGTTGGGTTGGCTAGATGTAACCGTACATTCCATGCTAACAGTTTCTTATCTCGCATGCTTTCCAGTCAACATTAATCTGCAAAACTTTAAATGCAATCGTTATCGACTGTCCTCCTGATTACTCTTTCCTCTTCCCGCTTACGATTAAAGTTTCTGTCCTAATTCTTCCGCACCCTGTAACCCCTTCGCTGCCTTGTATGCGGGGATACCGATTAAAAAAAATTAAAGATTGTGAGCTATAGCTTTAAGATATCCTAATTCAGATTCTGATGTCGTTTCTATTAAAAAAAGATTTTAGTCTTTGGTTTACAATTGTATATTTTTGTATTTTCTTTCGATGTGTCTACTTTCTTCGATTTGCTCTAAAAATGTAATCCTTTTGAAAATATATATTTTTGACATTATGTCCATTTGTAATTTAGTCAATTCAAATCTTCCGTTCGGCACTTTGCACATTTGACACTTTGTTCCTTCCATACTTAGTCCGTTCGACATTTCTGGCCTTTCTTCATTTAGTCAGTTCAACTCTTTTTCCATTCGGCACTTTGCCCATTCGACACTTTGTTCCTTCCATACTTAGTCCGTTTGACAGTCTGTTCGACATTTCTGCCCTTTCCTCATTTAGTCAGTTCAACTCTTTTTCCGTTCGGCACTTTACCCATTTGACACTTTGTTCCTTCCATACTTAGTCCGTTCGACAGTCTGCTCGACATTTCTGGCCTTTCCTCATTTAGTCAGTTCGATTCTGTTTACCGTTCAACACTTTCTCCATTCGACACTTTGTTCGTCAATACCTTGTCTGTTCGATATTTTGTTTTTTGATGTTTTGTCTTTCGACACTTTGACCTACTCCAATTCTGACACTGGACCACAATAAGGTTACCTAGTGAGAGTGGAATTTACTACACATTCTAATAAGCGCTGTTCTCACGAGGACATTTATTAAGTCAACATCGCATGACAACTGGTTACAATACTGGAGAACGTTGGAAGAGGCCTCACTTTCTTCCTTAGTAATAATTTGCAAGATCTCTCTACAATAAATGTTGATAGTAACGGTGAAAATAACCGTTTCCTTACAGGAAACATTGGACATTCATTGACTGAACATTTAGGGTTACTGTCAGTTGAAACTTCAAGTTCTTCAGGAAATTAAATCTCTCTATTTTTCCAATTTTTTATCTGTCTTTCTTGTACTGTTGGCGTTTCATAAAACTACAAAAACTCTGACAGAAGTAGTGAAGGAAAGAAAGAAGAAAGGATTAATCGTCAACTACAAGATGACAGAATACATGGTTATTTGCAAAAAGATATGCCCAAAGTATGAAGTGAAAATCGGAGATACCAAAGTCAAACAAGTACAAAATTTAAATATCTAGGAAGTTTTTTTAAGAGAGCACTGAAAGTACAACAGTGAAATGAGAAGGTGTATTAAGATATGCAAAGATGCCTTCCAAAATATAAGCAGAGTATTAAGAAACAGAAAAACTTCGCTAAAAACAAGGAAAACAGTGCTAAAATCTTACGTGATATCTGTTGTGGAGTGATTTCGCAGTGGAGGCTTTTATTTGTACTAAGTCGGTCCTAAAATAGGTTCGACGTACAAAACGTTAGGAACTTGATATAATAGTTAATGACGCAGAGTAAATCTAGTTGTGTTCGCTGATACTTTCGTATTCGACTAACTGTCGTCTGACATCGACTGACTGACGATATTCAGTCACCCCACCACCACCACCACGGGGGCGTCATGTGGCACAAGGCCTTTTTAACGTGGGCTCTCGGAGCCCGTGGGCTCGGCCAAAAATATGCCCATTGAACCCGTATAAACGGGTTCAGAGTCGGTTTACCTCCCCGAAAGAGAATCCGCCCTTCGGCGTAGCCTCCTTCGGGTTCCTCCCCGCCCAAAGGCAGAGAGTTCAACCGATCAGCCAGTCGACTGACTGACTGACCTCCTCGTTACTCTTACTACTCCTACTTATTATAGGTGGGAGAGTCTATTAACTATAGAATAGGTGTGTTCCACCATAACAATATCTATTCATCAGAAATTAAGAAGAGACTTAAAGCAACAGAAATATGGTTCTACAGAAGGATGCTGAGGATACCATGGACTGAACATGTTAGCAACGACGAAGTTTTAGGGAAAAGGGAAACAAAATGGAAACTTATACTGAACTTCAAGAAGTGACGGTTAAAATTTCTAGGGCACAGAATGATGAAAATCTGATACTCACAGAACAGAATGAAGGCCAAAGGGATAGAGAGAAACAACGCATAACACACTTAGTGAGCTTGGATAAAGGAATGACGGAACAGGGTTTAAGAGAAATAACAGAAAGACACAATTTATTAAGAGCTGCAAGGGACAGGAATTTATGGAGAGCCATCATCGCCTACGCCCTGAGGGGGACTCTGTACATCTTCATACATCACAGTTGAACAACTAGGTGCACTTGATTTATTTGGGAAGGATATTAGAATAATCCAGAACCTATACTGGCACCAAACCGCCTGCATATGGAGAGGAAATGAATTCAGTAAATACATAAAAATAGAAAAGGGCGTCAGATAAGTTTTCATACCGGAGTTATTCTGGCATTACAACGAAACGATCCTTAGAGAATTAGAAGTCCTCTCAGGATTTATTAGTGGCGGCCACAATTTTAACAACATGGAATATGCACAGTATTGATATCAAACTCAGAAAGAAAACTACAGGATCTCCTCAAGAAGGTAGTAAAGGAAAGGGAGAAAAAAGGACTAAACATCAATTGTAAGAAGACAATGTATAGTTGTTAGTAAAGGAAAGAAACGGCCCGATATGCAAATTACAAGTTGGAAGAACCAAAAGCAAGCAGCTACAAAAATGCAACACCGAAATCCGAAGGTGCACTGGAATAGAAAAAGATGTCTTCCAAAATCTAAGCAAAGTATTAAGAATCAGAAAAATTTCGTTAGAAACAAATAAAACAGTACTGAACCGTTATGTAATATCGGTCTTTCTATATAGCAGTGAATGCTGGACATTCTCATCAATAGACGAAGAAGTGATATGAGTCAACATAAATTTGGTTCTACAGAAGGATGCTGAGAATAATATGGACTAATGGGAATCCAAAATTTAAGGATTGCAGGCCCGGAATGTTTTAATTTGCTCAAAGAGTCGGCCTGATTCCAAAGTGGTATGATATGTTGGGCTACGACCTCTAAGAGTGAAGTTGAGAAAGTGTGACACATTGATATTCGCATTTATATAGAAGACTACTACTACTACTAGAAGAACTATAAAAATGGATATCAGTAAAAGAAGTAGTGTATAAAGTTAACATTTTGATAATACCATTATTTTCCCATCTAGTTATATCTGCTATCCATTTTCATAGTTTTTACTGTCGAAAGTCTTATTTGGTAAAGTTCTTTGTTTGTAATTACGTAGCGCCAACATATAGTTTCTGGTGAATCCATTGTTAATCGTTAATATTAAAGCTTTGCTTAACGCAGGACGTTACCACAATAAGTACTTAGTGCGAATCGAATTCACTTCATAGTAAAAGTCTGTGAGCAATTGTTAGCTGAGATGTGTGGGTAGCGTAACGGTTATCGGCGTGAAAAATGGAATCGGCCAGTCGAGTTTAAATTCCAGTCTAGTCAGGTGCGTTCACATTCGTATTAATGTTCTTTTGGAAAAAAATCTTTTCCCCTCAGCTATAGGTTAAAATAACAGACTGAGACTGAACTTTGTCGCCTTCGATGGCAAAAGAACGTCTATTCCGAAGGCAACGGTAAAGAACTTCATTATCTTTCGCAAAGAGTCATGCCAATTCACAAATAACAAATGAAAAGAATCTGTGGAGAGCCATGATTGACTACGAGAAATGTCATTTTTTTTACTAATGTTCACCCAGTACAAGGCCCAAGCGCCGCTCAATGTAGAGTGTTACTGTGTGAAGCTGTATTAGCCTAAGAAATGGGCAAGGTAACAGGAAAGTTAGCTAATTCTAGACTTGAAGAGGTCAAGATATAATTAGCGAATAAAATTTCAGAGTTCTGGCAGAGACGTTAGAAGTACAATGTTGGAGTTGACTTTAGAAGGGACAGGAAACCCAGTCCAGAATAGGAAACAAGAAATGAACCTCTACTCATTTTCAAAAGACCGGAGAGGAGTGTGAACCGGACGACAAGTAAACCTACTCCTATTTAAAAGAATAGTATGATTAGTACAACCATATCTAGCATTTCTAAAACTTAGCTTAGTTTGGCACAAGACCAATAGTAAGGAGCACTAACTAAAGCTCGAAATCAATATTAATGATTTAAAAATCCAGCTTGTTGACCATTACATCATAGGTTATTTCTTAAGTTGGGCACAAGGCCACAAGTTTGGATCACGCTGTAAGAATCGAACTAACTATTCATTATCATGTCAATCTTGCTATTTCAGAAAAATGTTATTTAATAAATTTAATTAGTTTGGCACAAGGCCACTAGTATAGAGCACAAATGATTTACCAGTCCAGTTTGTTGACCATTAGTTTGGAACACGTCCATAATTACGAGATGCTCTACGAGAAGAACCCTAGTTTTTATTAAATTTTTACCCAAGAAGAAATCAAGGTAGAGGATTACTGAATCGGGATGTTGTATGGACGAAAGATTGATTAAATTATTGATTCATTTTCTACAGATTATCAACACTTTGCAAGTTAATTGAAGCCAGAAAATAATTTTAGATTATAAATTTTTTTTTTTTTTTTTTTTTGAGATAATCATGATTTTGTGATGCAATTAACCCATAGCTGGATGGGAGAAGAAGTGGATTCATACCTTTCCCCAAAAACTATCTGCGCATGAGTGAATATAACGAACCCGACTGGAAATCGAACTCGGCCCTCGGATTAACAATTCCGAGCCAACAATCATTACATCACGCATACATCCAAGCTTACAGCACCAGGTATCCCCAAGCGGTCAACAATATAGGTACTGACCAGACTCGACGTTGCTTAACTTCGATGATCTTACCGGAACCTGTGTTTCAACGTGATATAGTTGTAAGCGTTTGACGTAAGAGGAGGATATGTAGGATAGATAATGGTGATCCGAGACTTGAAGAGGTTAAGATTATAGTGATCAGGGAATCATCCTCTTGGATGTCCATATATATGTTCCATAATGTAACAGTTCTAAAGAAGAAGCTATCTGGGAGAAATATTCTCCTTAATAGTGGAATACCAAGAATCATTCATCGTCTGTGGAAAAGGGATTGCTGGATGGAAAATAATTCATTACCCACAAGGCCGAGTAATTGTTTTGAACGCTGGCAAAGCTGAAAAATGAGGAATTTGGGCAGGTCCTGTTCAAATAGAGAATTAATACTCAATTTTTTTATTTATTTTTTTTTTGTCTGATTCTTGTAAAGATAAAAAATGGCAGGAATCAGTTACTTCCGTGAGTGGTACGTCTGCTTTAGGTAAGAAAGCACCCGATAGGTACTTCGTCCAGAATTCTTTTCATATTGCATTTGAATGTCTTGTCACACACCCCACCCAAGTAATAAGAATATAAGAACCAGTAATGCAAAGCATATGTACTGGATTCAGTTTATTCCCTTTCATGACTAGAAGGTCTGTATGAACATCACCATTTTCGTGGCACAAAATGATGCAGTGTTTTGTTGCAAAATCTCACTGAACGGCGTCCTTCAGCTGATAGATATTCTGGTATCGTTCATGTGAAACACTCTCCTTGATAATACCCCTCAAAGAGCGTTGAAATAGAAAATTATATTATAAAGGTATAACAGGACTCTCGATCCACCCTGTACTATAGATGAGATACGTGGATGGCTAAATGGTTAGAACGTTGGCATTTCCGCCTTGAAACACCATAATTTGGACTAGCTCTGCTTGTTCTTAGTAACCTTCCTTTCCCTGGGAGTGCCTTCTCGACAAAGTTACAAAGATGTAGCGGACCGTGGGTTTACGCGTTGTTAAATTAGGAACACGTGCGTTTATTCCTGATAGAAGAAGGGTCCACTACAAGAACATGGCGGACTTAGAGATTGAATCCAGCATAAAGAAGTGTAAAGAAAACCAACAAGACCAATATGTATATACCACAAGTCTATTTATAAAACAACAGAATTTACAATGGACACAGACGTTAACATTTGTATTTGTGTGTGAACGTAGAGAGTTTGTATTTTGGTGAGTGTTCGTACGTACATGTATGGGTGTATAATGTTCATGATGTCTCCCAGAAGTGGGAAGACGCAATCTTCTGCGAGAGCTTACATTGCAGATGTGTTCGCTGAAAATGAAGAAATGAAAAAAGAGGACGATGCAAGAAATCTCCCAGTATTTATAGTGTAGGGAGAGCGTGCCCTAGTAAACAATTAGGTAATTAAGGAGGAGTTAAATTGAATCTTGAATTGCACGGTAACTACTTATTACAGATCGTCATTCGACTATCGTTATGTAGGCCCTGCACACTGGAAATGAAGAAAAAGGTTTCTATGTAGATTTGCACTCACATTTCTTATCCTTGGAAGTGCCTTGTTTATTAGGCTGCGAAAGCTAAGCATGAGGCATCATCGATTTTTAGATGAAAGAATATTTGTCCAACATTACTAATGGCCGATTACGCTTCATCTGAAAATTATATTATGTAGGGATGACAAGTCTTTCGGACAACCTCGTACGATAGATGTGACAGGTGGCTAAGTGGTTAGAACGTTGGCGTTTCCGCCTTGAAACCCTAAAATTTGAAGTAGCTCTGCTTGTTCTTAGTAACGTCTCTTTCTCCAGGAGCTCTTTGTCGACAAAGTTACAGAGGCTAAATAAAAATCATCCAGATTTAACCTCATAAGTATCTTATTTGTCTTGAATTGCACCGTAACATCCTATTCCAGATCGTCATTCGACTATTGTTAAGTAGGCACTGCACACTGGAAATAAAGAAAAAGGATTTTTAGTCTGTTTACTCTTAGGGATAAATGTGCAGGCTGGTCCGAAAGTCTTGTCACCTTCTACCAAAAAGTAATGAAAACAATATAAGAACAGGTAATACAAAGCTCATGTACGGGATTCTGTTTATTTACTTTCATGAGAAGAAGGTTTTTATGAACACCACCATTTTCGTGGCACAAAATGATGCGGCGCCATGTCCAGCGTGATATTTTACGAAACTTCTACTCCAATAGCTTCATGTCTCGCACCTCTCGCCTGTGGAACTCCTTTCTCTATTCCAGTTTCCCTGAGAGCTATAATCTCCAACTATTCAAATGTAATGTCAATCGACATCTCCAGTTGCCTTGATCTATGCACTATCCTTCTCCTCATCCTTTCCTCTATCACTCCTATCTGATCTTGCTCCAAATCTTCTGTAACCCCTTGCGTCCTAGTGGCTTCCCGCCTTGCTTGGGGTGAAATGCTTAAAAAAAAAACTGTGCTTTTTCCTGATTGTTGCAAAGAAAAGAGAACGGCATTCTTTCACTGATAGGCATTCTGGTATTTTTCATGTGAAACTCTCTTCTTGATAACACTCCACAGTGCAATGAAACAGAAAATTATATTATAGAGGGGTGACAAGACTTTCAGACCGCCTTGTAAATTAAGTACACAAATATCAAAAAATATTATTTATTGAATTTAATATCAGACCAAAAAAAATATTTACTTTTATAGGAGTTAATAATCCAATCCAGTTTGCTATGAAAATTTATGATAAATTGATCCCCACTACGGAAACCTAAGCAAATATGCTCATACAAAATGATTCTTAACCTCTTCCTTGGCGTAGACGTGAATATACGTTTTTGCCGAAAGTGTCTTTTTCAGACATGGACGAATAAACACACCCATAACATAGTCTCCAAAAACAAATCTACAGTCGATCTTGGTTCTTTTTATGCCTTTCTGAGCTTGAAACGAGTTAAGTTGATAACCATACGTCTGGTAGAAGTGTTAGCTCCCGCTCAGGTACTTTAAGGTACCTCAGTTTCTCAGTTACTATATTAAAAACAAATGAAAAAATTTGTCTGGTAATAAAATGTTTTTCCCAAAATTAAGTGTGGGGAAGTGGTTAAAGATTCTATTTAACAGTGAGTAGTCCTCCAAACATGCTTATTTAAATAGGTGGTTGAAGATATGGTGCGAAGAATAGTAAAAAAAGATACAAAAAATGCTAAGATACAAAGTATAAGAAGTTGTGGGGAACCATGATTGCCTATGACCTGAAGTGGATTTACTCTAGCGTATTTTGACACTGTTGCCAAAGTCTAGAATACAGTGGTAAGTTCTCCGAGATGCAAAAAAAAAAAAAAAACACGGGCATAACTTGACAAACGGGATTTTTGCGACTAAAAAATAAAATATTCCAGCTGTAAAACGTAAAAATTCCTGAGCTGGAACTCGACAGAATCATTATTTTTCATTTTTTTTCTTTCCTTCGATGAAACCAGCTTGCTGCTTCCATTCATTGCAAATGGTCAACTAGTTTGACGATTGCTGCTTCAGGTCTTTTTTGTTCATGTTCATTGTTGTCTTTTTTATATTTACTTATTTTTACTTGGCATACCCGGGGAAAAGTAAGTATATTCTAGATCAACCCGTCGACTGCTTAGCACTTTTCTTTCCCTCTCTTACTATCTTTCCCTTTCCCCTCCCCACGTCTATCTCTCTTTTTCTTCCCCCTAAAAAAAACTTATTTTGAAATCTCTGTCTTTCCCCTCTTATTTTTAAAACTCTTTCCTTTTCTTTTTTTTTTCCCCTCTTCCACCCTTTTCTCTTTTTTTTTTTTCTTTTTATTCTGTGTCTGGATAAATTTAAAATCAATCTATATTTAAAATTTTTGTCTGAAAAGATGGGCGCCTGATCCCATGAAATAAATTATTACCTAATGGATTTCTAAGGACTCTATTTTTATATTATATATATATATATATATATATATATATATATATAAGATTTTCACAAGCAAGGCGAGAGTGCCACTAGCAAACAAGGGGTTACAGAGTGTGGGAGCAAGAGTAAAGAGGCGTGATAGAGGAAAGGATGAAGAGAAGGGTTGGGAAGAGATCAAGGCATCTGGAGATGTCGATTGAAATTGCATTTGAATAGTTGGAGATTATAGCTATCAGAGAAGCAAGTAAGAGGAAGGAAGTTCCACGGACAAGGAAGTGCGAGACATGAAGCTATTGGAGTAGAAGAGACAGCTACATTTAATCGTTTCGACAGTAAAAGGGTGGGACTGAGACGCGAACCTAGTAGCACGTTTAAATTCATGCAGACTGGGAACTAGCGGAAGTAGCTCGTCGGAGCAGTTACCGAGAAAGTATTTGTAGAAAAGGCAGAGGAAAGCGACGGTACGTCTGTTAGAGAGCGACTGTAAACGAGATGCCAGATCAGGGCCAACCACATCGCATATCCGTCTCTAGATTTTGTCGCGGACCTTAAGACGAACAGAGAGGGTTTCAGACTATATATGACAGCAGTATTTCATGCAAGGGCGAGTGGTTGATTTATAGATTTGAAGAATGGACTCAGACAAGAAAAACTTTCTGGCACAATACAGAGAACTAACTTTCCTTGCGGTAGATGAAGCTATTGATTCAATGTATTTGTTCCATCTCAGGTCAGCGGACATTGTGAGACCAGGCAGTCACAAAGATGTGCTCTGGTGGAGCTGAACAATGGGAGGCAGGGAGGGTTCACTGTTGTGGGTAATAGAGAGAAGTTCTGTTTTTGTGGCATTAAAGTTAACCAACCATTTCCTGCTCTAGTCAACAACCCATTGTAGGTCTTTATACAAAAAGATTATGTGAAATTTGAAGAAGTCTGCCTTAGAATTTTGTTTCTAGAGCAAAAGGCATGTGTTGGAAAATTGTCCTCAAGCGGTCTATAATGTTAGCATTGATATGTCCATATACCAAATTGCACCATCTCATTGTACATCCCCTGTAATTCAAAAGAAGAAATAATTAAATCAAACAATCAATAAAATATTTAATTAAGGATCCTATTTAACAGGGAGTAACCTTGTGAAGATAAAAAA